ATTACTTTTTTAGTCACTTCTTATCTCTAAAACTCGGATGTAATGCATATTAAATTTTAAGATTATTTAATTGTTTTACTAAAATATATATCTATATATGTGTGTGTAACGTAAATGTTTGTCAAAAGAAGTGTTTTCTTAAAAGAAATTTTTCTTTCTCGGAAACAGTAATATTTTTTTGAACTTGAAAGTGTTCTTAAGCAACGCATTCTTGTGAGAGAGATCATCAAGCTTCAAAGAAGATTTAATATTATTTCGGTAAAAGTAAAATTCTTTGAAAAGAAAACAAATACCTGCCTTTTATTGTTATCTTACATATGTCTTAGAAGTATAGCAAAAAATAGGGATAAGACGATGACTTTCAAATTTATCGACTTTTCTCAATTTCTGCGATGATTTAAAATAATGATTTGTTTTTACAGACACATTACAATCTTGCTGATTACTTATTAAAATTGAAAAATTGAGTAATTGATAAATAAAATTAGAATTTTTTGTAAAGTTTAGATTTTTTCTTTATAAAGTTTATTGCATCATATTATCACCATATGCAAGTAAAATGACTTTTAGTTTTGGATAAGATGACAAATATCAAATTAAATTAGATTTAATTAAAATGGAACTTTTTATAGATAGAAGACAAATTAATTTTTTGTGCTATATTCTAAAATCATAATATTTGAATAAAAATGAGAAAAGAAATAAAAATTTGAATAAAAAATGTTATTTATATGACTAAAAAAAAACGATAATAATAAAATATTTAAAAATTCAATTTATAAATATAAAATAGAAATAATTAAAGTTAAATTTTTTGAAGGCAAATAAAAAATAATTATTAATTTAATTAAAAATTGAGAAAATATTTAAGTAAATCCAATACAACCAATTTAAACACGTTGCATTATACAAAATATAAAATAGAATCAAATATATTAACATTAAAAGATAGCTTTAATTTATATAAGGATTGAATGTGTGTGTTTTTTTGCACGTGTGTGTGTGTGTATGTGTGTCAATTTAAGTTTAGAGTGTTAGCACATAAAAATACTTAAGTAGGGGAAATGAAGCAGTAAGCGATAAAAACTTATAAATAAAAATATGAATATAATTTTATATCCTAATTATAATTTATCTTTCCTTATAACTGTGTTTACACAAGCGGTCTTAAAAAATGATATTATCTGAAAATTATCTTGATAAATCGCCATAAATAAATTTAGATATATTTAAAAGAAAATCATCTTCATTTTATCCAAGATGAATTGACATATTGTCACCTCATATTTATCCAGCTAATTTTTAAATCATCTAAGCACAACACTGATCGTATTAACGTTGCAGAATCTTTCGGAAGTCCTGAGAGTGACGTCGAGCAAAGATTTATCGCGGCAAAACACCGGCGATATATCAGACTACTTACACGAGATACGGGAAAAGTATGGGGAAGGAAAAAGAGAGCGTGGAATCCCATAAGAATCCCCGATTCTAAATTTGCCGTTAATAGCGCGACGTGACGAATGGGCGCAGATGCATTCGACGTGCCTCCCGGGACGTGCCTTGTTTTGAAAACGTGCCGATCTGCCGTGCCACGACAAGCTTTTGGATTCACTCTGTAGCCTAGGTATGTCCGGTGTCCGATCCCTCTGCTCCGATTTCCGTGTCGCTTGCACGAGATCCTCTCTTCGAGAGAGAGTCTCTCTCGCTCTCTCTCCCATAAATCGATGACAATCTCAGCTGTCTTTGCGACAGGCAACCTGGTCAAAGGGCGGACGTGTTAAGCGATAACGGATCGCAGGAATGACGAGGAAACACGGAAAATGGAAGCGGAAGTATCTGCTTTTTTCTCAACAAAAATATTTATTCGCGCGATTTATTTCTTCTTTTTTTGGGGGCACTAATTATTTGCTTCTTCCGTCGAACCTTTACTCCGTTATAAATTTTCATCATCCACTCTCTATACAGTAATTATAATTGAAATTAAATTAAGTTCTCCGGAGCAAAGAAGGAAAAAAAGAATCTGAAATTTATCTTTCAAAATATTTAATGAAAAATTTTTTGCCATTTCTCAAGATCGTTTTCATTGTCGAAAATTATACTGATGGGATATTGTCGCATTATTTGAACGAAAAATATATAATCGATAATTCATCGGTATTTACATTCGCGTATAGTTTTCTAGAATACACTACTAGAAGGAAAGTGAGTTTTTACAACACTCGAGGCGCACTCGAGATTTCCGTTTTAAGTAAGAATGCGAAGAGGAAAAGCGACACTTTTCGAGTGGAAGCGACAGCTGACATTTTATTTCGCTTTCCTCGAGCGATGGAGGCCCAAAGTGGCGATGTATCATGAAAATGTAGGCGCGATAGTTTCGACAGCAACAAGCCGTGAAAGCTTTTCCAAGGTACTTTCAACGACCCTCAAGATTTCTCTTCTTTCTCGAAGATCGCTCGCAACCCATACAGCGCAACAAGATTGCAGCAGCATTGTGGCAACATTTCATTGCACTATTACAACATTGCATAAATATTGTGAAATCTTGCTGCAAGGTTGCAGCAACGGTAAAATGTCCGTTTTCAGAAATATTGTTCTATAACATTGCAGCAATAATGCAATGAAATATATATGTAATATTACTATTGGATTATTGAAAATGTGCCAAATACATGATCGGACTGAATGTTCTGTACCTAATATTTTTGGCGTGACTTTTATTTTCATAATATTTCTGAAATGTTGCTGCAACGTTGTTTAAACTATATTGCAAATTCATGCCTATATAATATTTCTGCAATATTGCTACGCAATGTACAATATTGCTGCAAACTTGTGTGCTGTATGGAAAGTCATCAAAATCATCGCCGAGAGACCAGAAAATCGATGTTCTGTACCTAATATTTTTGCGTGAATTTTATTTTCATAATATTTCTGAAATGTTGCTGCAACGTTGTTTAAACGATATCGCAAACTCATGCCTATATAATATTTCTGCAATATTGCTATACAATGTACAATATTGTTGCAAACTTGTGTGCTGTATGGGAAGTCATCAAAATCATCGTCGAGAGACCAGAAAATCGATGTTCTGTACCTAATATTTTTGCGTGAATTTTATTTTCATAATATTTCTGAAATGTTGCTGCAACGTTGTTTAAACGCAAACTCATGCCTATATAATATTTCTGCAATATTGCTATGCAATGTACAATATTGCTGCAAACTTGTGTGCTGTATGGGAAGTCATCAAAATCATCGCCGAGAGACCAGAAAATCGATGTTCTGTACCTAATATTTTTTGCGTGAATTTTATTTTTATAATATTTCTGAAATGTTGCTGCAACGTTGTTTAAACTATATTGCAAATTCATGCCTATATAATATTTCTGCAATATTGCTACGCAATGTACAATATTGCTGCAAACTTGTGTGCTGTATGGGAAGTCATCAAAATCATCGCCGAGAGACCAGAAAATCGATCGTTCTAAGATGTTTAGACGCGCGTTAAACGTTCGCAACCGCTCGCAAACGTGCCGATACGTCATTAATCACATATGACGAGCTCGTAATATAGTACACGTGACATGGCGTTAAAATATGCGGCCCTTAACAACACGCGGTGATGGTTAGCCGCGACTGATTAATCATCCGCCGTCTGATGAATGACTCTCGGCCGAGGAAAGCGGAATGCAAACGAACGATTCGGAAATCCGGTAGCAAGTGAAAAGTGGTACGGTAATATCAGCGGAAAAAATGTACCTCCATTCCTTCGTTCTTCTTTATTTCCTTTGTCATTCCGCATATTTACATCATCGATATATATTTCGCTCTCGCAGGCACATGAAAAGTTCGACGACTTACGTGGATTTTTTCTTGAGGAAATCACAATTATATTCATAATTTCCGACTTGAAAATGCAAAACAACGTGTGTGTGCAAGGAAAAACGACTTTGTACATTTGTGTAATTAAGAAGAAACTCTATATATATCGAGAGAAGAATATATTAAAGTTATGAGAATAAAAACTAATTTACTAACTTTGAAAATAACGACAGACTTTATCTCTATACAGATGTTACAGAGGAAGCAAAAAAAAAGTAGGAAAAGTATGAAAGCGCAAAAATATTTTTGGTAATTATATACATTTGCTCTGTGCATTTCTCATGTTTGCTCTAAATTAATATTTGGCCATTACGTCGCTCTGAATTCTTGCGCTTATTCTAAATTAATATCGCAAAAATCAGAGACGAGTAAAAAAATAATTTTTTTAAATATATACTATACATATATTCTCTTGGAAAACAAAACGCGCATTTTTGCTCTTATTCCTAATATTCAAAATTGCAATAATTGAAAAACTGCAATAAATAATAGCCTCATGAGGAACTCTTACTCCGCTACAAATTTTCATCATCTACTCTATATATAAAATAATTATTATATATATAAAGTAATTATTATTATAATTGAAATTAAACTAAATTCTTGCAAATAGGGAAAGAAGAGTCTAGAACTTATCTTTTAAAATATTTTTTCTTTGGTACACATATATAGATAAAATATTTTTACTATTTCTCACGAAGCTTCTAATATCTCGTATAGATTTCGTCGACGCGGATAATCGGAAATCTATACTATACTTTGTCTGGATGCTGCTATCGAATATCAATTTAATCGCTCGCGATGTCCATGATTTTCGCTTCGACTAAAATCCGTCCACGATTTCGTGTCCGTCTGATTAAAATTTACACGGTGCTTCAAAAATCGTGTTCAACTAGGAATTCTTTGAGTTTAGATACACGAAACGTCTTCCCTTCTTTATTTATACTAATTTTTTTTAAATTAAATAAACAATTATGATTATTGAAGAATCTGTATCTTTATCTTCATTCTATGAGTCGCAAAAAATACATTTTCAACGATTTTCGAAACATCCTGTGCAACGCGATAGAATTATTTAGAAAAATATGTAGTCTGATTTTTGTCGCATATATATATATATAATATAATATATGCATATTAAATTGAAAGTTGAGTAATATACATTTTATCGGCGTAAAAGAAGGAAGGCTTGATCCAAAGAGGGATCAACAAATCTCGATATTGTACAATTTCAATGATGCGGTGAATAATGATTCTCGGATGATGATTGCAACGGTCCATTAATGTTTTGCACAATCATACTAAGGTAATCCAAGCTGCTCCCATTATTTTGCGAGGATAACGCTTGCTCAGTTTGCTCGAAACCTGCAACACAAGAATATGAACGCGATATTAGAATACGTAATACAAATTTTTTAAAATTAAAATAAAAACTTGTTTAAATTATATTAAAGTACATAATGTTGAAACAATCACACATAAAGTGTATATTTTATATCTGCCACTGAACAAAAATTTATTGAATTCAAATAAATATTTATTTCAATATACTTATAAATCATTTATTTGCTAATAATATTAATTTGATGTACAAAAATATATTTATTGGATATAAAAAAAATATTAATTTTTTTTTCAAATAAATGATTTATATTATAAGACAGTATTGAAGTAAATATTTATCGATTTAATAATTTTTCTTCAGTATATTTGGTCAACATTTAATGATGCGTTTATTAGACGAGACTGAGTTCCTAAAATCCCAAACGAATCGAAATTCCTAGTCCAAAAATGAGAGTCTATTTTCACGCTGCATTTGATAAAAAAGAACCGTCGTAATCGCGATGCACAAATGCAAGCTGCGTTTAAGCGAAATCTTAGATGCTCTTTAACCGCGGTGTATATCCAGATACGGATGAATTACGAGCGAATTGGGAACGATGGGGTCGGCTCCTTTTTCCTTCCACTTTTCGTTGTCCTTCGCGGCGAAAGCACTTGCATAAGTTATGTACCCCTGTGTAAGAGCTTTGAGGGATCGTTATTCTTGGCACACTTCGTCTTTCCGTTTTAAGTTTGACTCGTATTTTTCAGCCGCAAGGTATGTATATCCACGTGCACATTAATGTTTCGTAAAGGGATCCCGTTCGTACATTGTTGTTGTTTAATTTGTCGCTTAATAATTTTCGCTTGCTTTTGGCAAAATATAATATTATAAATATAATATTACAAAATATAATATTACAAAATATAATATTACAAAGCAAAATTGTACGACATACGAATAATCGAGATTAAATTTATATTGTATATTCCTTTTTATATTTTATTTTATTTTCATCAATATATATATATATATATATATATATATAGTGAACAAAATCTGTTGTCAGATAAAAGAACGCTTTATTATATATTTTTCTATCGCGATGTTCATCAATTCTCGCTAAGCGAAATGGTGATTAAAATATTGAAGTTCTTAAAATCCAAGCATAAAGTTTATTATAAATTATTTTAATGTAAAAACAAAAATATAAAATATTTTTATTATAATGACAGCGATGAATAATTTATTGTTAATTTCTACGAATCTTTTAATTTTTAATTGATGCGCTGAAGAAGATTGAAAAAAACAACCGAAACATACGAATTTTATTTCTATATAATATTTAATAATTTATGTTATAAATCTTTTCACAAATATAATTCTAGCATAGAACTATTAGCTCTTATTGCCTTTTTATTTGTAGATTAAATTTTCTAAAGAGCTGTTACAAATTATATAAAAAAATAAAATTCTTTAAATGCAATATTTTTAAATATTATATATTCAATTATATAAATATTTCATGATATTAGATTCCATAATTAGAATTGCAAGCGTAGACTCGCAAACTCGCAGTTGATCATCAAATGCATCGATGATCTAATTAAGCATCCCACATTTGCCAGCATCTTGGATATATCACTGGCACGAAAGATAAAGATAAAGCGTAACTGAGAGAATGTGGGAAACATACGAAACTAATAATATTAGTTGGAACGCGAATAAGTCGACACGCGCCGATAAATGCAAGATGAAGACTGAAGTTAAATTCTATCTTCTCTCTTTTGCACTTTCCACTCGTTTTACGTGAGATGATAATGGCTTTTATTTTCAACATTTTACAAATTACGTGAATTCTTTCATCCGTAATTGATTTGTTTGTTTAGAAAACACAGTAGCTTTGACTAATAGATAATAAGAATTTAAGAGCGAGAACAATTTTTCGCGAAGCAATCTTGGCGAGAATCGATAGACACTTTCATCTTCAATTAATTCCGAGTGAGGATATCATTTTAATAGAATTTTAATTGGTAGCTCTTAATTACCAAGACATTCGGAAATAAGAGACTTATGAAGAGAGATGGGATTTAATCAAACTTTTGTTAGAAAAATCGATTCGATAGAAGAGAAGATTGCATAAAGGTGTTTTACAGAAGCTATTTTTATTTTTCAAGTTCATACAAATTATACGTGAATTCATTTACTCGCATTAAAATTCTTCGTAAATATTGTGCGAAAACTCTGTGTGACTCAACAATTGTAATCTCCATAAAATTAAAAACAATGTAGAAACAGGGAGATCATAAATATTCATGAACCAAAGATGGTAAAAGATAATGAGAAAATGCTGAAAGAGATTTTATATAGCACGCTTCATGTAACGGATGATATCAAAATGATGATAATTATAAAATAAGAATGATGGCGATTATTGAGTGCGATAATGATTTGACGTATTTCAATAAAATATTGATGTATCTCACACCTTTGAAACATTGCGTGTTTAATTTGAGTAAATGTAATTATCTCTTATTTCGATACTCTTTCGTTCAGTAATGAAAAACGCTTTATATCGATGAATAAACTGAGCGCAAGAAAATATGTAAATATGACTGACATTAATATTCTAATAGTTATTATTTTATAAATTTATATTAATTATGCAAATAATGCTTTTCTGTCAATATATAAATTTTATTTTATTTTCTATGTAAATTAAAATTAATTTCAACTTATTATAATTTATTGAACAATAAGTTTTAAATGTCAAACTTTATATTATTTATATAAATGTGTACATAATTTATTAATTATTATTGATATATTTAAATTATTTAAACCATTTATTTGATATAAATGTATTAAATATATTCAAAATTATTGAATATAAATGGAATTTGGAAACTTTATAATTACATTTACAGGATTTTTAATTTAAAAAATACTGATATATGTATATTAAAATTCCTATTGGGATCGACAATTTTAGCAATCGTTTCATTGAAATCGGGAAGAACACGACCTATGCGAAAATATATATAAGTGTAATTTATATAGACACAGTTTTTATAGCACAGAGGTTTTTGAAAATCTAATAATTAAGCTAGTTTGTTTAATTGAAAATTTCTTGAAAATACTTGTAATTAATACCGATTGAATCGATTGTTTGACGAAGAACGAGCTTTTATTTATAGATCATTGCCTACGATACTGGCTGTCATACTGCTCTGCAGATGATGCATTACCTAGATTGCTCGCCAGATTTGTTTGATATACCGCGCGACACCGAGCAGTTTTCGCGATGCTGACGTGAATTATTTATCACAAATCTGCTGGCCGCAACGTAATTCTCGCTATACATACCTATGTATACACGGATAGACAAACGAGTAAACATTTCTACACCTTTGATGAAGGATGGAAAACGCGCCGCAATCGAGTGCAGACATTATTTAAATGTACACAAAAATAATTAATTATTTAAACGTATATAAAAAATATTTAAATTATTTTTACAAAATTATAAATAATAAGATTTTTTGGGGACGAATTGAATTGTCGCATTTTAATCAAAATTTTATACAAAAACTTGTCGTTATATTTCATAAAATAAAGTTATTGATAGTATCCAATTCTTTTTCTGATGACTCCATACTTTTGATTGACACATGTTCGTGCGAATTATTGGAAGGGATTTGGAAGAAGCATCAATTTTTCGGACAATCAATTTTGCAATGGAATCAGCGAGATTGGATCGATGGGTATCCAATATTTTTCAATTACTTCCGAAATATCTGTTCTTTATATATCGTACTTCGTCATTCTAATCGATTCGATAAATCAATGAATTAATTTGCTATTACGTTAAACGTTTGCAAACAACATTTGCTAATTAATTTGCATTACGTTAAGTAAGAATGGCAAAAATAATCCGTCAACTTATAAAGGACGAACATAAAAGATGTGCTCGAAAATGAAATTGCGTCTATAAATATAAATAAATATAAAAATTAATATTAATTAAATAAAAAAAAACACTCGCCAAAATGAAAAAAGAGCTGAGAATTTTTTCATAAGGAAGAAAGAGAGGAGAAAACTTCAAAATATTCTTCTAAAAAATGTTTGCGATTTCTACGTAATGATATTACAGTTTCTCTCCCTGAACCGTATCTGAAGCTAGAGATTTCCATTCTAATTACGCTATTTCGATCAACATCGTTAAAATAGGTCGCACTTTGTGCTTCGCTTGGAATAATTTCGGGTGCGAAGGCTCAATATGTTCTCGACGCGGACTTTTCGTTGCGGAAAAAAAGAAAGAGCTAGATAGAGAGAGAGCAATGCCTCTACGAGAATATGCACAGTTAGAGCGTCTCTTGTCCCGAGAAGTTCGGAGCCACCGATGCGTTTCGCGCTAATGAGAAGGAATCAAAGGTTCGTTGTACGGATTCAGCAGATCGCCTAGGACACGTCTTTGAAGATGGAAACGCAATTAAGTCGTTTCAATTCGCTCGCTGTCCTAATCGCATCCGGTGTGCTCCAAATGAAACGCGACTTCTTTAAGGGAAAGTCTTCGCAGGATCAGTTTGCGACTCGACACTGTCAAAGGCATTGACACACTTATGGCTCTCTCGCAATAAAATTTCGCAATCACGCCGAGATATCGCGCGATTCATTTTTACAAGTCGCTCTGCGCGACGCAACATTTATTTTTATGTATATTTATTTTTTAAATATTTTTTATACTTCACAAACTAGCGTCCAATATTAATTTTGATTGATTTATTTTTTAGTTGGCAATTTTAATGTAGTACTTCCTATTTATTAAAATGACTGTTTCCTTATATTATATAGTAACCTTGCGACACACGTTCGTGACACAATTTATATATTTAATAATTATGCCACAATTTATTCGCGCAGTTAGGAGAATCTGCGTCTGACAGATGTTTCACAGTTACAAAAGCGCGACTAATTCTCTCATATGAGTTAATCGGACTTATATTTGTAAAATTTTGCGCGAAATTGCAGCAGCTTCTTCACT